TATTTTGCCAACAGGAATATTTTTAAGTTTTAAAGGTGCAAACATTATTGGAAACTCTCTGAACATTTTTTGAATTTTTCTATAAATTTTGAAAAAACAGAGCATTGTTTTATAAATTGTCAACAAATTTTGTGAACAGGAAAAAAACTTAAATGCGTGAAGAAAATTTTGGATGGCGAACATCTTTTCAAATTCCTGAACATTTTTTACAATTGTGAACAAATTTTGTGGACAGGAACAATTTTTTAAATTGTGAAAAAATTGAAACCAGGAACATTTTGTGAAATTCGCAAACTTTTTTGAATTTTGCGAACAAATTTTGAAGACGAGAACATATTTGGAATTCCAAAGAAAAATTGAAATTTTTGTTCAAGTTTGAAAATAAATGGACTTGAGAAATAAAAAAGAAAAGGAAGACGAAATGTTAATACATAAATAAATAATAAAAAATAAAGCAGAAAAGAAACAGAAAAAGAAAAAAGAAAAAATGAAACGGAAAAGAAAAAGGAAAAAAGGAAATAAAAAACAATAAAGAAGTAAAGCAGAAAAACTTGTTCAGGAAATTTTAGAAAAGTCCCAAACCTAAAACCGAGAGCGACTGGCTGTTTAAATGGGTCGGGCCAGATCGGATCGTTAGCTGCGTGCATCTACTCGAATTCCGTACGCCTATGCGCGCGATTCCTAAACGGCGCCCGTAGACGTCTACGTTCCTAACTGAGCGCTAACCACTACGGACATCGTTCACTTCGTGCATAACAGCTTCTTTTTCTCTTATATCCCAGTTCGTTTTTTTTTCATTTTTCTATTTTTTTCCTTTTTTTATTGTATCTTAAAATTCGGTGAACCTTTCTTCTATTCCGTGAACTTTTTTCAATTGATGAACTTTATTTCCATTTCGATGAACTTTTCTCAAAGTTCATGGATTTTTTTTTCAAATTTGATGAAAATTTTCGAATTCAATGATTTTTTTTCAAAATTGGTGAGATGAACTTTTTTCAAAGTTGATGAACTTTTTTTCAAAATCGATAAACTTTTTCCAAATTTGATGAACCTTTTTCGAATTTGATGATTTGGTTTTTAAAAATTCCATGAACTTTTTCTAAATGGATGAACTGTTTTTTCAATTTTGTGAGATTTTTCTAATATTTGATGATTTCGTTCAAAATATTGGATTTCTTTTGCTCTTAGTTTTTGAACTTTTTTTAAAACCTTTGAACATTTTTTAACTCACATTTCTCAAAAAAAAAAAACTCGTGTTTTTTTCTTATGTCAACGGTTGACAGTCAGCTGGTCAACCGCGCAAAGTGAACACGATCGAGGGAAGGAAACGTGATCGAGTGAAGGTAACGCAATCGAGCGAAGGGAACCATTTGTCGAGCGCTTGGGCCAGCCCACGAGCGGGGGCGCACGGGCGCCACGAAGCTGAAGCGGCGCCTAAAGCGCCCTATATGAGCTCTCGTGCCTATGCGTTGCGTTGACAATTTGACGCAACGAGCGGTAAATATGGAATGGGAATCGTTGCGTGCCGGCGGACCGGCTGAAGCGACGCGCCGATCGCTCGATCCCTCATGATTTAACGCCACCGATTTGTGCCACGTCACGCTGTTGTGGGCTCCGCGCGCACCGCTTTGGGCGTTCCTTATCTACACCGCTTAGCTGCCTGTCCACTTGTTTCTTCTTATTTCTTCTAGCTTGAGCTCGCCGCTTCCCATGTCTCTCGTCTTTTCTCCTCAGATTCCACCGGGGTGCTGTGCTCCTGCTCATGTCCAAGCGCACCGCAGGGCTGCTGCACCACCACCGCTGCAAGCTTTAGATTGGGAAACTGCTCCCCCTATTCCCCTCTGTTGTGACCCAGTGGCCTTGCCCAACCAGCAGGACGGCGAGATGCGACCACGCGCGACGGCAACACATGATGCTGCAACATGGGGTGGTGGTGCTGGACCGGTGGGCCGCTGTGCTGGAACCACCACGGCGGCGTGCTGCGACCCCATACCCCGTCGTCTTCCTCTGTCGGTGGCGTGCTGCAACCGGCAACTGAGGAAGCTGGAACCTGCGGCGAGCGGGCTACAACGGGTGGCAAAAAAAGCTATAAGGGAGGCGCGGCGTGCGAACCAGCAACCATTTTTGCTAGAACCAGCGAGCCAAGGTGCTACAACCGGCACCAAAATACGACCGGCGATCCAAAGTGCTACAACCTATAGAATTTTTTGCTACGACGGGTGGTGATCGTGGTGACCACGCGCGTGAAAAAGCTGGAACCAGCAAGCAAAAAAGCTTCAACCAGTGACGCGTTTTGCTACAACATATGCGGTGACAAATGCTACAACAAGCGGTGACATGCAGCGGAGCTGCATCTAGCGGGGCTTTTGCTACAACGACATCCGTTTTTTTGCTGGACCAACAGATTTTGCTACATCCGGCATCGTTTTTTGCTACAGACGGCATCGTTTTTTGCTGAAACTAGTCAAGTGTCTAGCTTCCACCCAGGAAGAAAATGCTTCAACCGTTTGTGGAAAAGCTTTATCCAGCTAGAGGAAAAGTTTCAAGAGTGGCATGAGGAAAAATCTTCCACCGCGGGAAAAAGATTCAATGGTGGAAAAAGCTTCAAACGACAATGAAAAAGCTTCAACCGCTAGGAGAAAAAGCTTCAAGCGGTAATGACAAAAAAGTTTCAACCGGGGGAGCCAGGCGAACGACCGGTGGCGACGAGAACGGCGACCAGCGACCGGGGGCGACGAGAACGGCGACCAGCGACCGGGGGCGATGAGGACGCCGACCGGGGGCGAGGACGCCGACCGGGCGGCAACAAGGACGGAGATCGGCAAGCGGGGGCGAGGACGGCGACCTGGCGGCAACAAGGACGGAGATCGGCAAGCAGGGGCGAGGACGGCGACTGGGGCGAGGGCCGCGAGCCGGCGACGAGGACGGAGACCGGCGACGAGGACGGCGACCGGCGGCCTCGAAGCGTCCATGGCGCCGCGGGGATGAAGGGTGCCATTGTCGTTCGTGCGGAGGAAGGGGGTGATAGAAGGGCGTGATCCAACGGCCCTGGGCAAAGCGATCCGACGGTGGGCAGCCGACCGGCCGAATCGTTCGGCCGGTGCACCGGCGCAGATCACTGCCCATATGGAATTCCGTATACAGGAGCTCCCGTTCTCCGCTTTCAGCGCCCGAAAAGTGAGATGGCACTCACGCGCGTCCAAGCTGGGCATTGACCCAACATCGCGAGTTCGCTCACATGGTTTCGATCGGTTGACCGATCTGACGGGCTGACCGTTGACTTTTCAAGGAAAACATAAACTTGAAAAAAGTTCACAAAATCTGAAAAAGTTTGTGAAATTGAAAAAAACACATTTAAAAAAAGGTTTTGGGTTTGAAAAAGTTCACGAATTTTAAAAAGTTTGTTGATTTGAAATTTTCACAAATTCGAGAAACGTTCACGAATCTAAATAATATTCATGATTTCTTTTTTAAATCACAGATTTTGAAATTGTTCCTTTTTAGGGGGATTTTAAAGAATTTCATGAAATTGAAATAAATTTACGAATTCCAAATGTTCTGTCCGGACCATCTGGCCAGGTCTGCACAGGGCCTCGAACAACCCGGCGGCATCCTTATATTCCCCCCAATCCATGGGTTTCTCAAAAAAAAAAAAAACCGTGTCACCGTTGCAGGCCTTCGTCTTCCTCGCCACGCCGTTCGCGCGCCTTCCGGTCGTTCCATTCCCACGCCTCCTCCTCCAACTCACCGACGCCCGTCTCCTCTTGCTCGTTCCGCTACTCCCCGTGGGCGCCAGGTGCATGG